TGTGTGTGTGCGTGTGCGTGTGTGTGTGTGTGTGTGTGTGTGTGTATAGGGACATCTGTACATATAACAGTCTTTGTCTCCCTCTGCTGGTCTTAGTTTGTACTGCAGTACTACAGTTGTAAAAAGTTTCATCACGTTCTATCTGATACTGAAATTAGTATTAAAACTAGATACTCGTTTGAACAGGTATCGATACTTTAAAAATCCCATCAACAGGACAGAACTGAAGCTTTCCTGAAGCTTTACATTGATCTTGAGTTTTAGCACAACAAGTACAAGAACACAGACACGGATGGTAACATTAAAAAGTACTGTCATCACATTCTAATGTTTGTTTGTTTTTAATCTATTGACAATTGACATTAATAAAACAGCTCACACGAAATTCTAAACAAAATGTAATATCAGCAAAAGGCAGTTTTTCATTCAAAACTGATCGACCATCTCCCAAAAGCAACTTTTACAGGCAAAATGTTCAAACCAGGGGTGTCAAACGTATGGCCCAGGGGCTGGATCTGGCCGTCCAAGACCTTTAATCTGGCCCTCGGCAGATTTTCTACTAAAATATTTAAATTATATTATATTTATTTATATTATATTTTAAAACCTGTAGACAGAATTTGCAATTTTTCACACATCATTCACAGTCAAAACCTCTGATGTGCCACAGATGTGCAACTAGAAACAACAGATTTACAGTCACTCCCTTTGTGAGCAGGTTCTCAGTAATGAACATGAATAAAACAAAACTGAGCTCAAAACTAAACACACAAACACTTGAATGACATTCTGAAGACAACAGCTCCTCAGGACCTGGTGTCTGATGTTGATGCACTTGTTCATGTTCAAACATTGTGTTGAAATTGTATTTTTCTTAAAGTTTCAGGTTGTTCATAATATTAGAATATTTTGTAAAAGAAAGAGTTCATCAATTAAAAAAGATTTCTGTAATAGATTTGTGTTTCTCTGCCCAAATATTTGAACTTATAGTTATTTTTGGGGTTTATATGACATGAGTTTTCTGATCCAGACACTTTGGGATCAAAGTAGGTTGGATACGACCCCCGGACCAAAATGAGTTTAACACTCCTGATTTAAACTCTTGTCATGTGTTTTTCTGTGCTCTTTCAGTCATGTGAAAGAGCAGCTCACAACTTTTAGTCCTTCACTGGTTTAGTGCAGTTGGTCACTGGGGTCACACTTTACACAGATGAATGTCAAACTGGAAAAAGGAAAAACTGTGTCTGTATTGTATTATGTAATATATAAAGTATATATAATACATAAAATAATACAATATATAAGTACATTTACAACTGAAGAGTAGATTTTGCAGTTTTTCATCAAAATATGCAAAAGAAAATTGAAAAATGTTGGAATAGCAAATACATCAATACTACTTTTGCACCATAATATGTAATGTGTTGTTGAAAACCAAACAAGAACTGTATGTATGTGAAAGTGTGTATGTGTCTATACATGTATGTATGTATGTGAAAGTGTGTATGTGTCTATACATGTATGTATGTATGTAAAGTGTATGTGTCTATACATGTATGTATGTATGTGAAAGTGTGTATGTGTCTATACATGTGTGTATGTATGTATGTGAAAGTGTGTATGTATACATGTGTATGTATGTGAAAGTGTGTATGTGCCTATACATGTGTGATGTATGTATGTGAAAGTGTGTATGTGTCTATACATGTGTGTATGTATGTATGTGAAAGTGTGTATGTGTCTATACATGTGTGTATGTATGTATGTGAAAGTGTGTATGTGTCTATACATGTGTGTATGTATGTATGTATGTATGTGAAAGTGTGTATGTGTCTATACATGTGTGTATGTATGTATGTGAAAGTGTGTATGTGCTATACATGTGTGTATGTATGTATGTATGTATGTGATGTGTATGTGTGTCTATACATGTGTGTATGTATGTATGTGAAAGTGTGTATGTGTCTATACATGTGTGTGTATGTATGTATGTGTGTGTATGTGTCTATACATGTGTGTATGTATGTATGTGAAAGTGTGTATGTGTCATGTATGTATGTATGTATGTGAAAGTGTGTATGTGTCTATACATGTGTGTATGTATGTATGTGAAAGTGTGTATGTGCTATACATGTGTGTATGTATGTATGTATGTATGTAATGTGTCTATGTGTGTATGTATGTCTTATACATGTATGTATGTATGTATGTGAAAGTGTGTATGTGTCTATACATGTGTGTATGTATGTATGTGAAAGTGTGTATGTGTCTATACATGTGTGTATGTATGTATGTGAAAGTGTGTATGTGTCTATACATGTGTGTATGTATGTATGTGTGTGTGTATGTGTCTATACATGTGTGTCTGTACTGCTGAGACCTCGTCCCTGTTTGACTCATGTGTGAAATCCTTTACTGTTAGAGTTTTGGTGCTCGCACATTTTGATTTTGCCATTGTGTTTGTGTTTCTATATTTATATAAGTAAGTTTGGGCCAGAATCCTTTACCATGTGGGAAAAAACAAGTTGAATTCACTGCTCATGTGTGTTTGTGAATGAGAGCTGTGTGTGTGTTCTGACAAAGAGCCTGAGAAGTGTGTGAACTGATGAGAAATGTTCCAAATGATGTGAGCGCCTGAGCCTCTGTTCAGATACATGTTTGAATCAAACGATCAAACTAAACCAAGTGTCAAAAATGTGTTATAATGATTCAAATTTGAATAGACATTGCTCAGTGTTTCAGAGCTTTTGATCATGTTCTAGTAGTTTTCTTCTCATTGACCTTCTGAAGTTGTACTTGGAGTGATTCGTGTTTGAGTCATCTTTAATCGCTTATTTTTAAGATGCCATCTTGCTGATCTACTCCTCTTTTCACCTCCACTGTGACATACGTACTTTATTTTGTTAAGTTATACATGTTGGATTTTGTAGTGCCGCAAAGTTATCTTGGTACAAATGAAAAAAAAAAAAAAAACACAAAGATGTGAGTCTGGTCACTGGTGAATCTCCCTGAGTTCAGATGGGTGTGATTGACAAATGGATTATCCAATCAGGGACATGCATGGGCCGTCCATATTGGCAAAAATGGACTGAAAAACATGGTGGATTTCTGCAGAATCGATGAGCTCGAAAGTCTGTTCATCTGAGGAGAGAGAAATGTCATGAGCTTGTTTGTTGCACGTGTCACTGAAAAAAACTGATCTGATTGGTGGTGGAGTCCAGACTGAAATCAATCTGTGTCAAGAACACAGATTGATTTCAGTCTGGACTCAAGCAAGTGATGTGATGTTTGTTTGTTCAACACACCATACGTACAACAGATCACTATAAATGATGAATCACTGCTCCATTATTATTATTATGTTTCATTGTTGTTGCCAAAAAATGAATTTCCTTCTGGATCAATAAAGTATTTATCGATCTCTCTATCCACAGTAGGGCCGACAGCGTGTGACGCTCTGTTGTGATGATGTTTACAGTGATGTCACTTCCCACTGGGCACCACAGTTTTCAGAAGTCAGCGCACTTGTTTCTTTTAAATAGAAACAAGTCTGTGTCTTTTAAGTCGTTTAAGATGAATATTGTGATTTAAAATGTTCAAATTATAACCATTCACAGGGGCCACAGAATATAACTATAGAGCCCACACGAGCACGAATATCTTCTTCAGTGGAAGAATGTGAAACATTTTGTACTCTTCTTTCTATTTCACTTTTAGCACAGGCAGAGTATGAGCAGAGCTGTGTGTCAAACCTGATGAACTGGTCACATGACACTAAGTCTGTTTACACATAACACCCAGAGACACACTGTGTGAACTGAAGTTTAGTCCTCATCATTACTACAGTATTACAGTGCACACATGTAATACATGTAATTATCATCACACATTTACTCAAGTAAAATCGAAATGATTTAATTTAACATTTTATTAAAAATGATCGGCCACATCAGTGATGATTAGTAGATCATCTGCTGCCCATGTCTTGGTTAAAAACATGAAATAATTTTGATGAACAAGAATTGTAAGTTTGGTTTAAATTTTTTTAATTTGGAGAAGCTCTTTTATACGGGTTTTACAGAATTCCTGTTTAACAACCTGTCGTTACTATTATATAACTATTATTATAAATCCATATTAAAACAAATATGCTGATAATACAAGAGCAGCTAAGAAAGAACTCTGCACATGATTCACTCAGAACACAATAAAAAGAAAAGTTTACAGGTAACAGCTTCATCTGTTTGTAGTTCAGGATCATGAATAGTAAAGACATCACCGAGCAGCTGAATATATTAGATTTTCATTCTTCTATTCTTTTATTTTATTTTATTTTTTTACTTGGGGAAAACATTTTATTTTTGAATGACTTATGAATGACAGTTTTAAATCAAACCATAAACAAAGACGAAAAATGTACATAAGTGTGTGTTTTGCTGTGTGTCCAAGTGCACTATTTCCACAACTTCTCAATGGACATGTTCTTCTCACTGTCTTTTTGCATCACCTTGGCCAGGGACATCTCAAAGTCCTCCTGGGTTAAATGAACTCTTCGTTCTCTCTTCGTATGTTCCTGCTTCTGTGCATGCACCTTTAACTTCAGCTCCACACGCTCCAGGCATCAACTCTGCGATCTTCCTCAGGTTGATGCCACGAGTGAGGTTCATCTTTCTGGAATGAATCTTCAAAATGTCAAGACAGGCCTCTTCATTAGGAGGAGGAAGTTCAATCTTCCTGTCAATTCTTCCAGGCCTTAGCAAGACATAGTCCAAGATGTCAGTTTGGTTGGTTGACATAAGGACCATAATCCGTCCAGCTGATTGAGCAGCTCCAGCATCGTCCTGAACCTCACTGTCTCCACCTGAGCCACTTCAAGACCACATGAACCAACGGAGTCAGTCTCATCCATGAATATGAGAGCGGGAGCATGCTCTCGTGGACATTCATTCTTCTATTCAACATCCGTTTTAAAAATGTGAGGCCTGAATTTATTTAATTTATTTTTATTTTATTTTTTTGGATCATTTGCAGCATTACAAAACAAAAACAAAACATAAACTACACGGGTCATGACAGGAAGGGTCCGAGCTGAAACAAAGGTACCAAACAGATGAACAACAAGTTTGCATTCACAACTCCACTCACTGGACATGTAAGAAACAAAATATACATTAAAACAAACAAAACTCAATGCATAATTCATCAGAACTCCATATTTTCCAAAGTATAACACCCTGTAGTCATTTTAAAAGGTTTCTACAGTGTTGGACTGTTTAAAATCATCAGTCCGATTGTTCCACAAACCAAAACCTCCACCAGAATCACAATCACATAATTCTAATCTTCTAACATAATTCTAACCTAATTCTTATCTTCTTTTTTTTTTTTTTTTTCGTTTATGGTCATACAAACTAATAATAATGTCAACAAAGACACAAAAGTTTGAGCGTTTTTGATCATGCAAAATAAACCACAAAGAGAAAAAAAAGTATGGATATTTAGTTTTCATTTATGGTTGTGCAAACTAATACTAACGTTAACAAAGGCACAAAAGTTTATCATTTATGATCATACAAAAAAAAGGTAATGTTAAAGAATTTTTTTAAAGAAAAGCATGAGTTTAGTAGTTTTTTTTAGTAGTAGTTTTTGTTTTGTTTTGTTTGTTTTTTACCCCATCTCACTAATCCCACCCTTAAAACTTAAACTCCACCCACACACCCACCCAGGTCCTACATACACAATACAGGTTATACATAAATAACAATCTGCATTGTACTTTAAAAAAGGTTAAAGAATTAAAATATATATTTTTGGTATTTTCCAGTTCAGATCCATGTCACAATGTATTAATAATGATGCTCTGATTAGTAACAGACTTTTTTCAGCAACAGTAGTTGGGTAGTTCTAAATAGAGTCACATAACTACATCATTTCTGGCATCATGTAATGTCTAAAATATACTGTCTATGTCCAGTTATGCAATACATGCAATCCATCTCTCCTGTTAAGGTGCATGTAGAAAGTGCACTTCCCTGTCTCAATAAATAAATTAAATAAAATAAAATACTTCAATATAAACTACAAAAGGTCATTGCTACAGTAGCTGGTAGCTCACAGAGTGTTGTATTAAAACATGTTCATAAAATCTTCAGTGGAAGTGTGGTAGGAAAATGCACCAGCCAAAGGGACGACTGCAGCATCGAGACGATTCTCAAGTAAAATCCACTCACACAGGACACAGAGTGACAGAGGAGTCAGATGGTTTGGTCTTGATTCTGAACGCTGGGTAAACTTCTTCAGTGAACCTGGTCTTAAAGGTCTGCAGGTGGATCTTCTGATCTGAGGAAACATCATAAAAGGACAAGACTCCTCCCTCCCAGTCCAGATACACGCCCACTCGATGTGCAGACCGTTTCAAAGATCTTCTCCTGTTCTTATGCAGCACAGAGCATGTATCTTCAGTACATCCGAGACTCCAGGACTGTTCATTTTTGCCCAAACAGCTCTCATCTCCAGTCCCTCTACGTCTGATGCTTTTGTAGGTCACCGCGATGTACACGTCTCCCCTCGTCTCCACCTCCCAGTAGCTCCGCCCCCTCAGCCCCTCTGCACACAGCACCTGCTTCCAGTAGTCGAAGCGCTCAGAGTGATCAGGGTACGACTGCTTCTCCTTCTCCAGGGAAATCGTCCGCTCATTATTGGAGAATTTGATCATTTTGTTTGCAGTGTTTTGGTCAAATGTGAGAAAACAGGCATCTGCAATAGACAACAATAGATTTACTTTCAGTAAAAGAGTTAAAAAACTTGAACTTCTGAATTATTAATACTTGCATTTTCTAAAATCCTTTTGTAATCTCTCCTCTCCTCCGTGCTCTAAGCTATGAACAGAATGAAAAGTTTTATATAAAAGTCAGTTCTTTGTTGGCCTTTGCTGTATTATTATTGTACGTTGTGTTCTTACTTGAGTTTCTTCTGTGGATGGTTGAACAGAGCGGTCAGCTGCTGTGCCTCACTTCCTCCTGTACAGTTATAACTGAGGTCCAGCTCCTTTAAACATGAACCTCCAGAGCTCAGGGCCGAGACCAGAGATGCACAGCCGCTTTTTGAGACCTGACATCCAGACAGCCTGCAGAGCACAGGTCACAAACTGATAGAATACATGCTTCCCAAATTTCAAACTTCTGGTCATCGTGCAGTGCATACTGAGAAGGGCCCTCCGAAAAAGTGAGCATCAAACCTCTACGTTTGATTTCCCAGTGGGATGTGTCTATTGTCAAAGTCGATCTTTTCTAGTCTTTTGAACCATATCACTTTTGTTTCTGGTTCTGATATTGTCATATTTTAGTTTTGGAATTCGGACATCGTAATTGCGTGGTTGTTGGATCCTAACAGTAGAAAACTGCTCGAGAAACTGGCTTCGGAAGTTTGCAAACTCCAATTCCCTTCCCAACAGAATTGAAAAATAGTGAAAGACAAAGGCGATGGGCAGCGAACCTCGCTCAGCCTCAGTTACAAATTTAAAAAGCCAACGCCAAAGCGAAAAGCACCAGTTGTTCACCAAGAAACACCTTCCACTGCAAAGAGACCAAGATGTTCAGCCTGTTTGTCTTCTGCACCTCTCGCTTAACAAATGGGATTTTGCTTTGTTGGCGCTCCACATACAAAATGTTCTCTGCAAACGCAGGATGATTTCTTAGGCAGCCAAAGGTTTCCTTTTTGGTCCTTCCTGTGTCCTTCCTTTGTGCTTCCCTCCATCGCTGCCCATCACCTTTCACTATTTTTCAATTCCATTGGGAAGAGAAACAGTTTGAACAGAGGTTTTGCAGTCACACACATCTGATTCCCCCTGCAGGTCACAAACTTCCGAAGCCCATTTCTTGAGCCGTTTTACACTGTTGGGACAACAAGCACACAATTACGATGTCCGAATCCCATGTGTAAAATATGACAATATCAGAACCAGAAACAAAAGTGATATGGTTCAAAAGACTTGAAAAGATCGACTTTGACAATAGACGCATCCCACTGGGAAAACAAATGTGGCAGTTTGATGCTCACTTTTTCGGAGGGCCCTTCCCAGTCTGCATTGCGCGATGACCGGAAGTTTGAAATTTGGGAAGCATGTGTAGCACATGTTAGTCCTATGTTGGCTGTTAGCTCTACGTTAGGGTGCACACACATTAGGTCTTTTCAACCGCACTGTGCTTGAGCATGATTGTGGAGCGGCTCGCACTCACACCTGCACAAACCTGCTGACCTCACTCAGCGTAAAGTAATTACACTTAAATAACATCTCAACACCTGTCTCAGGACAAAGGGGAGAGCACAGCGTTACACCTACACCCCTAAATTCCCAATCCACAGCAGATGTGCGGACACACCTATAAAAGGCTGAGAACATTTGAGCACCTGAACAGGGACCATCCACAGTCCAGCACCATGTGTCCATGACCTAACCCTGTTGGTGTTTCTTGTATTTTACAGATTATATGTTCATATTATTACACTGCATTAGTTTGATGACATTTACTTATTGTATTTATGTTGTTCCCGAGAGACCGTGGATTGTCTGGATGGAACAATAAGCTGTAAAACTCACCTCCAGTGTTTCTGATCAGTTACATCTCTTTAACTTGAGAGGCTCCAGTGGCTCTACCATTTTATAAACTTTGGTGATTCTACTGATGTGCACCACTCAGTCAATCAAAGTGATCAAACGCCAATGTATGGTTTGTAAAATACTCAGTGATCAATCAATCAAAACATCTGTCTCATGAGACTCTAAATTCAGCAGATTTAAATGGAAAACCATTACATGGCTCTCTGTGTTTGCTGTTATCTCTGTGTTTGCTGTTAGCTCTGTGTTAGAGGTGTCTCTATGATAGTGGTTCACTGTTATCTCTTGGAGTTCTGACCTGAGCGTCTCCAGTTTACAGCGGGGGCTCTTTCAGGGCGCTGCTCAGAGTCTTGACCCCTGAGTCCTGAAGATCGTTGTTGCTTAGGTCCAGCTCCATCAGACTGTTTTTCTCTGAGTCCAGGACAGAGGCCAGAGCCTCACAAGAACGAGGAAAAAGATCACAGAAGCTCAGCCTGAGGGACAGAGGAGTTTAAACAGAACACAGAAGATCAGCTCAGAAATGAGCTGAGGAGATGTCAGTGTAACAGCAGAGAGTCTAAACCCTCACAGCACAGACCTGAGTGTTTGCAGAGCACAGTCCGACCTCTTCAGACCCTCACAGAGCAGGAGCAGCCCAGAGTCCTGCAGAGGATTATGACTGAGGTCCAGATCCCTCAAACAGCACTGAGAGCCGAGCACTGAGGCCAGGGCCTCACAGCCTCTGTCTGACACACCACACCCACTCAGCCTGAGGAGGAACAATAACATCAAGAAACAATAAATTATGACATTAATGTGAAAGGAACCACCTTTTCATGTGTGAAACATATTCATGACATTTGATTTTCATTGTAGTTTTACATGTGACAGAACAGACCTGCACTGATGTACAACTTACAGAACTTTGGAGGACAGACTGACAACAGGCATCAGGTGGAGCAGAGCAGTCTCTGACGGTTGGTATTTACTCAAGTCAAACTCTGGTTCTTCTGTGGACATTACAATGGAAACCAGCGCACTCCACTGGGCAGGAGACAGGTCTGAGGGAATCTTCTCAGAGCTGAGACAGGCCTGGACCTCCTCACAGAGACCTGTGTCCTTCAGCTCAATCAGACACTGCAGCAGAGTCAGGTTCCTCTCCACTGACAGACCTGAGTCTAACTTAGCTCTCAGATATTGGGCTGTTTCCTGGTTTATCTGTGAACTTCCTGTTGGTTTCATCAGCCCTCTGAGGAGACTCTGGTTACATTCAAGAGACAAACCCAGAAGGAATCTCAGGAACAGGTCCAAGTGTCCATTTGGACTCTCCAAAGCTGTGTCCACTGCTGTTCTGTAAAACTGTATCATGGAAGTTTTGCTATAAAACATTTTGGACCAGAAAGACGGTTTATCTGAGAGCAGGTTGACCCCAGAATCTGTAAAAGTGATGTGAACGTGAAGAGCTGCCAGAAACTCCTGGATGCTCAAATGTACAAAGGAGAAGACCTTGTCCTGGTACAGGCCAGTCTCCTCCTTAAATCCCAGAGTGAAGACTCCTGAATGCACTGACGCCTCTGTCACGTCGATGCCACACTCGCTCAGGTCAGACTCATAGAAGATCAGGTTTCCCTTCTGCAGCTGCTCAAAGGCCAGTCTGGACAAAACCATCAGATTTTTCTTACTTTCTGAGGTCCAGACAATGTCTGTCTCAGACTGATCTTTATATTTTACATTAGAGATTTTAGCCTGGATGACCAGGAAGTGAATGTACAGGTCTGTCAGGGTCTGGGGCAGCTGTGGGGACAAAGAAGAGAAGGATTACAGACTGTCTTTGCGATTGTCTTAATTGTGCAGACACAAACATGGTTCTATCATTGGTGAAAATCTGTGTGTACTGACTCTTGTGAGCCTCCACAGAGAACTGTAAGGATCAGTCACTGTGTCACTGTGTCACTACAATCCAACCCCTGGAGTCGTGAGATCCAGAGACTCGACTGTAGAGATGCAGTGAGTCAGGCCTTAAACCTCCAGACAGGTTTAGTCGCTATTTCTTTTTTTTTTTTTTTTTCAAATTTTTGTAGATTTTTGTCCCAAATAATATGAAAGAGAAACTGACCTGTCCGCCTCCAGTTCGGAGGACATAGTCCATGACTTTGGCAGTGATCCAGGAGAAGACTGGGATGTAGCAGAGGCTGTAGACGCTGCGTGAGGCTTTCACATGAGACACGACCTTAGATGCTTCATCTTCATCTCTGAATTTCTTCCTAAAATACATTTCTTTCTGTGCATCTGTGAATCCTCCAACTTCCGTCACCATGCCGACGCACTCTGCTGGGATCTGATTGGCTGCTGCAGGGCGTGTGGTGATCCATATTTGGGCAGAAGGAAGCAGTGTGCCTCTGATCAGGTTGACCAGGAGAGTTTCTATGGAGGTTTTCTCTCTCACGTCTGAGACGGACGGAGTTTTGGAGAAGTCCAGCTGCAGACGGCTCTCATCTAAACCGTCCAGTATGAACAGACACTGAAACTCTTCAAACCTGCAAATGCCGCGGTTTGTTTCAGTGAAGAAATGTCCTATGAGCCCATACAGGCTGAGGCTCTCCTCTTTCAGGAGGTTCAGCTCTCTGAAGGTGAAGGGGAAGATGAAGTGTAGATCCTGGTGGCTCTTGGCCTCAGCCCAGTCCAGACTGAATCTCTGCGTCAGGAGGGTTTTCCCCACACCAGCCACGCCCTTCGTCAGCACGGCTCTGTTCCTCTGTCCTACTGGAGCAGCGATGAAGAGGTCTGAACATTTTGAGGGTCCTGATAGCTTGAGTTCGTCTCATTTGGATTTGTGTTACTTCATGTTCTTCATTCATCTGACAGGCTCCTTCTGTGAGGTACAGCTCTGTGTAGATTTCATCCAAATGAGAGGCTTGTCCTGGTTTCTGAATTCCCTCAAACACCATCTGAAACTTGGCCTTCAGTTTGGACTTTATCTGGCCCTGACAGACGGGAGCAAGCAGCCCTAAACACAAAAACTGTACATTAAAAATATGATTTTAGTCATTTCAGGTTTTAGTGACAGGAAAGAATACAAGAGAAAATGGCGGAGCGTGTTTATTGTCAGGATGGGACTCAAACAGGCATGCACTGATAATGATACCGGTATCAGGTATCCGTCCAATACCAGGTGATTACACTCGTACTTGTCAACAAGCACCCAAAGCCAAGTGTCAGTATCACTGTAACTGCCTGTAACTGTGCTGGGTCTTATTTGATGCTCACAGCACATCTGAGTAATGAGCTCTGAACAGAGAGGAGATGATCATAAAGAGTGCACATTAACTAAGGTGACCAGACGTCCCAAACATTTTGGGACAGTCCTGAAATCTAAGCTGCTGTCCCAAATTTGCCCCTAAATGTCCTGAAAATGGCAAACAGAATAGTGAGTAATGATTTTCTGATAAACTGAAGGTGTGAGCAGACAGTACGCAGCAGCTGCTGTGTTTGGAGTGGAGTGGAAAGCAGAGGGGAGACAACGAGGTGGAGTATCAGCGACATGTGGTCAGGAGAGGCAGGTGAGGCAGTGCCACAACCAAGTTTTTTCCTACATTATGGAGTTTAGTTCACTACATTAAGTCACTTGTCTTTAGTATGGATGCTCCGGGTTCAAGACCTCGATATATCATTTACATATTTATTTTGTTCTTTCTTCCTTTCTGTGTGCAAACAAAATCATTTATTCAAACTCAGTGTTTCTATTAGTTAACGTGATTTTTGTGTGTTTGTAAAGAAAAGCTCATCAACATTTCTGAGCCTACACTTTGTCCCCATTCCAAATTTCAACCAATCTCATCTGATCACCATATGCTGAGCTGACCTCCGTGTTCCACTGTGTGACCCACTAACAATCATACCCATCGCTTGACTGTGCCATGAAGTTAGCACCAAAGCTGCATTCGGACTCAGCTACAGCTAAACTCATCAGCTACGGTCGCACAAAAGCTGAAGCACTGGTGACAAACATCCTTGCACCCTTTGCATCTGACTTCTCAAGTCAAAACACACATTCTTTTCAATTACAACAGATGTGTCTAATAAAGACAATGTGAAAATATTCACGATTTGTGTGAGATTCTGGACTCCTGAGCAGAGCGCCCCAAAGGTGGGACTTGCAAGTCGTGACTTGGACTTGAGTCAGATTTTAGTCAGTATTTTTAGGACTTGAGACTTGACTTGATAAAATACACAAAGGCTTGGGACTTGACTTGGACTTGAGCCCTGTGACTTGAGAAGACTTGATGCTTCTCCTAAAAAAATATGTTTCCAAAAAATACTTTTTTCTTTACAGTTGATAAATTAATTATTTTATTTTACAGGAACAAACTGGAACGTGTGCCTCCAACTTCTCTATTTGTTACTTTGGATGTAACTGAAGTACTGTGATGTGGTATCTTCAAATGTACTACAGTAATACACAGTACAATGCAGTAAAACAGAGGGAACTGCACAGAACATGATCCTTCCATTTCAGTGCAGACTACATGACAAAATAACTGTTATTAAGCACTTTTAAATCTGAATTCTTTCTATTTTGACCATAATAATTCGCACTCTTGTTAAGAAAAAAGGAAAAATTAGCATTTCCATAACTCTTATATAAATAGTCATGGTATATGAGTATTTAAGTACAATTTAGTTTAAAAGTCATATAAATAGCAAAAATCTAAGCTACATTTGGTGCTTTTTTGTTTAAAAACTTGAAATGACTTGAAGCTCAAAGCACATGACTTTGACTCATGGACCAGTGACTTGAGACTCGACTTGGACTTGTCTGTCTTTGACTTGGGACTTGACTCGGACTTGAGATCAAAGACTTGAGACTTATTTGAGATTTTAACAATGACTTGGTCGCACTTCTGGGACACCCACACCAGACTTCTTTTTTTCAGATTTCTTTGAACAAGCAGTCGAGAATGCACATGCTTTCACTGACACCTTACTAAACAAATTTAGTAGTAGTTTAGCAGTAATTTAAAGATGCTCATTTAACCTGGTCCGCAGTGAAATCAAAGCTAAAATGAATAAATAAATAGTGGGAAAGAAGGGAGTGCAGGCACTGACAGCAGTGAAAAGCTCTGTGAAATATAGTGCCTCCTAGGTAGGCTATAGTATTAACTGAACTGAAAGTTGTTTCTATTAATGTATCTAATATATGTATAGAAACAATAAGACATTTCTGTTCCCTTTGTTTTATAGAGTAGGCAAAGAGAGAGCAAGTTGCAGCAGCCGCGAGGTGGAGGTCGAGGACAGTGAATGTGCAGGCAGAGCAGCAGACAGCAGTGATGGTCACAGGCCGACATGTTGTGCATTGTTATTTTTACATAATGACAATTTGAGTTCATGATTTTTATGTTGTTCTCTTGTAGCAGAAATATTAAGGAAAGGTTTGGAAGTTTTTTTTTTTTTTTTCCAGCCTGTTCCAAATTTCAGCCAATCTCATCTGGTCACCCTAATATTAATAATTTCTGCACATTAAGCTCAGTTTTAATCATATGTAACTGTCACATGTACTTAATATAAATATTCAGACTTGTTAAAGGTTTTTACAGTTCAAAGGACATCAGCGCAGTGCTTGTGTTTAGATAGTAACATCCTAATGTGGCTAAAGCAGTGAGGGTGATTCTTTGCCTGTTCTTGCATTGTGACTTTCTGTGACAAACTAAAGTGGGCTTTTAAAAGAGGTATAGCATGTCCATATTGTCCAAATTGTGGCGGTCGTAAAAGTAAGAGAGAGTTTTGCAGCAGAGACTAACAACGACAGCGCCCGAGACATAACCAGTTCTCTCTTCCTAATTTCTGCTTGTATTTTGATGTGTTTTTCTGATCTGACCAAAAGCAAAGTTTTCACATTTTTCAAATTTTAATATTCGCATTTTTGTAGCCAATAGCCTTTTGACTTAATTGGCCTCAAATATATATATTTTTTAATTTGTCATGGCAGTGCAACAAAAATAAATTGGTTACAACTTTAAGGAGCCTATAAAACAGGTTCAATAATAACAAATAAATATCAAAACAAATAAATTATGTGAATCTCACACGTTCTCGTATGCACAGTTCAATAGATCAGATGGACAGTGTGAAAGAATTTCTGTGTTATTTTAAATATTATGAATCATTTAAAATCATAATCATTTGTGTGTGTGATTAAAGTTATCAACAATTGTGTTTTGGGGTTTTTCCATATGTATGTCATATGTCCTAGTACAAGAACTCCTGACTCATTAAGCTCATCTACTGAGTCGCCCATGAGAAGACAGCTAAGGGTTTTTTCCCTCATGTGGTTAGTATAATTTTTTGGGAGAAAACTGACCTAATTGTTTATCACCTGGAGCCTGTAATCAAGTGTGAAATGGGAGGGTGGTTTAGCCTAAAGATTGTTAGCATGTGATCATTGTAACCATTGTGTGATATAACATAATGTACTGTACTGTTATCTGTGAAACCTGCTGTTGGGAGGAGAGCTGGCAGAGTAGAGAGGCTCAGCCAGTGGTATTGACAGGCTCTGACAGCTCTCTCTCCTTGCGCAAGTATTACTTTTAACTGTCTCATTTTGGTGTGTCTTATTTAATGTAATTTGATGTCTTAGGGTAAATTCCCTGACAGACAGATAGTTCCGAATCAGCAGCACTATCAGTTCCAGTGTGGGGACCTGTCACTTCTCGGTCAGGAGTCTTCTTGGTTGCCTTTGTCTATTTGTTGATGTGTATTGCATCGACACACACACCTGCTGCACACCAGAGTTGAAACTCCATTTAAAGTCTGGAGAGGACACAGTTGGTGCACACATTCACACAAACGGACGGCAGGAAAATGTCTGGAGAAGAGCAGTGTCACATTGTATGTATGAATATGGCTTAAATGTATCAGGCTGATGTTTAATTTGCGTTAGTTAATAAATGGATAATGGATCATTTATGTTTTATAAGAATCTAACTGTACCTAGTGTAACTGTAGCGGCCAAACCTTGCCCTGTGCAAGGTCCGCTATGGCTGCAGCGTGTGTGGTGTCTCGGACGCGTGTCTTCCATAAAAACAGAGTCCAAATACTGTGTTCCTCAGCATTTATTGGTGTACCTTATAGCCATCCAAAAATACACAGATTCAGCACTTGATAGTTCACGACGATGACGACGACATTCAAAAGACTGTATACCTTCACAGTGCAACACCTGTGTGCACAATTTTCTCCCCTTTTATAGGGCAGGTACTTGCATAAATTACAAATAGCGCCTCACAGTGGCAGGAGGTAGAGAGGCGCAATATGGCTCCAACAGTAAGTCTCACTGTGGCTCTTATGTTTACTGTTACTGTTACAATGAGTAGTTCTCTGGCATTTTCATTTTTCAGTTATCTCACCGGAGAAAAAAGGCTGGAGATCTGTTGTTAGTTTTATCTGTTAAACTACACTAAGTGAGAAGTGTCTGAGTCCTATTTTTACATGCCCAATCACTTATTAGCAAACTGGGGCTTTAATAAGTATGCAAAATATGACTCAGGGACAGTTCACAGATACACAACAGACAAGAGATTAGACATTCAGCTGAGTTCTTACTGCTTTTGAGTGAATCGGCCAGTTGCTCCTGGTTCATTTCCTTCAGTAAGTGTAAAGTCAGGTCCAGAAGTGCTCCTCTGGGTTTGCTCCTCTTGTCAGAATCTTCTCCATCAGAGCTGCAATCCTTAAAACAGTCTGCACTCACAGCTCTCTGGAACCTCCTCAGTTCAGAACTCACCAACTTATGAATCATATTTTCAAGCCGCTGAAAGACATTTATCAGGGTTAGACCATGGACTGTACAAATGGACAGAGCTAGCCCGCTGGGTGTAATATGACTCCATCAACTCTGAATACAATTCACTTTCTTTTAAACAAATTGTCACCCCTCTCTCTGTAACTGCTGCAGTCTTTGCTCTTAAAATGTTTGTTTTGTCCCACTCTACATCATTTTTTTTTTTTAACTTGTGTCTGCAAATCAAGATAAGAACATCAATAACAAATCACTTCATAGAGTCATTGAGTTATCCCTAAAACTGTAAAGCAAGAAAGCAAAATTTAGGGGTGGACGATATCTCAATATTTCAAGTATATCTCGATACACGTAATGGATTCTGACATATCATATACATCAATATAACACTTATATATATATGCAATAACTCGCCCCCGCGCACCCCCATCTCCTTGATTTTGTTACCCCTCCTCTCACGTGCTGCCTCATACACTCAACCAAACACTTCTGGCACCACGAAACTTTTCCACCATTTACAGACAAGACCATCAGCAGCACATCCTCTATCACAGAGAGAACTCTCATATTCCACTGAGTCATGTCCTTTAGTCTGACAGAAGCTGAACCACATCAGACACAAGGAAAGAACTGTTTTTATCAGAGCTTATAGTTTATGCAAATGAGTCATGCACTTTTAAGTTTCGTTTCTGTAAAACGTAAACACATGTGGCAAAGCTGCATTAAACACATGATAATCTCAAACGGGCTGACGTGGCTCTAGAGTCGTTATGGTTTATGTAAAGTTTACTCATGTAAATTTTATGTATGTAGAAAATTTAAATAAATAATCTGTTGCAGTGTCACTTGTACAATAGTGTTTGGAAACGTTGGGTTTGATCTGCAGTGGATTGTGGGAAACCTCAGAGCTCCTGACGCTGGTGAGAAACATGGATCTATTAAAATAAAATAAGGAACCTCCTGAGCTTCTTCTGCTAAAGGAGCTCATGGTTCTGGTTATCGTACAATTATTAAGTTAATACAAAGATGAGCTAGAGTTGAGTTGTTTTAGTTTTGAATGAAAAGAAGACAATATGTTTTATTTCTTACTTATTACAGTTAAATTATTATTTTAGTATACAGGGATTTTTTTTTTTTTTTTATGTCGCAGAAGCATTTTGTTCCTTCATGAACTGCCTCTTTGCACGTCATTAAAAAAAGACCTTGTGGACTTTGGAATATATGTTTTTGCAGTAGTTTTGGGGAGGGGGGGGCATTTTTCCTCTACAGATATCGAGATATATATATCAAATATTGACAAAATATATCCAGATATAGTTGTTGCTCCATATCACCCAGCCCTAGCAAGAATCTCTTAAAAGTAACATAATCCCACCTCAAATATAGACGCAGTATCAATTTCTTCATCACCGGAGCCTTCTGTAAGCTTCTGGAGATCACTGCAAAATATATAAAAAAAAAAAAAACAGCACAACAATTGGCTCTGTGCACAACGGCAGCTGGTTACTTCCAGTCAGAGGGAGGGTCAGTGAAGCCATTTCCGCTCTAATGTAAAATCTATGAGGCTTTTGCTGAATCGCACAAAAATCACTCAGTCTTGAGCTCAGGCAGTGGACAGTGAGCTACAGGTGAAAGTCACTGACAAGTTAAACACTTCACAGATGAGGGGAAAATTTCACCAGAAAATACTTCAGCTTTTAGAAGAGTACATCTTTGTGACTCAACGGGAATGCTAATGTTTATTAAAACGTAACATAACAAAATTTTATTTGTAGCAAAGATGATCTGCTTTTCTATCGGGTAGATTATTTCAATCTGTGGGATTATTTAAATATTTATTAAGGTCCGAAATGAGCATTAGCACCACACACAAAGACATACCTTTGTAAACACAGATCAAGATCCACAAGCATAGGTCAAAGGAGCATGAATGGTGTCAAGGGAGCATACACCTTATCACACACACGGGATGCAGTTCAGGAGAAGCCGTTAGAGAGTAGGGGTGAAAACTTCCCTTACTGTCTAACAAAACCAAGTAAAGCAGCCTACAGACATGTCACTACACCATCACCATCATGACACTTTTGAGGACGATACAAGAAGATAAACAAACTCTCTTGTCTGACTAAAAGAATCGATAATACTAAGTTAAACTATTCCAATTTTCTAAGAAGATTTTGTTGGAATGGCAGTCGGGGAGTATGAAGTACACACTAGTAGTGCTGGGGCATTAATGCACCTTTTAGTTCAGAGTACGCTGCCTTAATGAGTTTATGAGGCCTGCTGTCCTGTCGATTTGAGCTCCTAGAGCTACTGCACATATGCACGATCCTCAAGCACTGTAACAGTTTAAATGTGTCGATCTGAGCTCCTGACGCAGAACTGGAGTAACAAGTCACATTTTAAAAGTGTATTGGTTTTATTGTTTGTTTGGACCAGTTAAACATCGACATGTGTGTTACATTTGCGGCAGAATACCTATGTTAGATGACTGAATAGTTTGGATTTAATATTTGATTTTATCGTTTTCATTACATCCTACTTTATTTTGATTTCAGTGTTTCCAGTCAATTCTTTCTCTTCTATAGTGGGAGCCTTATTTGATATTTATTATTATTTATTTTGAAAATATGGGCCTGTGGACATGACTTCCTTAACCAAAATTCATCTACACGAGTGAATAATGTTGATTCTACAGTGGGAAGCATTATTCGATGGCTAAATTGTCCTGTCAATATGTGTTCCCTTTAGTCGGAGCCCTATTTGAGCAGAATACGACTGTCCAAATGAACTACCTACACATATTCATATAAGTTGAAATTTGCAAACAGCATCAAACCCACTGTCTCTAATCCAAAGAAATATGTTGTAAAACTGGGGAGGTAAACGGGAAAATCTAAGGGTGCTTATTCTCGATGGTTCAGCGTAATTTGATAGACATCACTGTTGATTTAGGCTGCAGGGAGCTCATTTCAACAGAACACCGGGCATGTAGTCATCTCTCACCAGCTCAAGTTACAAAAATTACTTACAAAAATGTAAGTCTATGACATTTACGACTGTATGAACATTTGATAAGTCCTTTGTTATTATTTTATGCTTGTTTAGATGTGTTGCTCATGTTCTTAAAATAATATTTGTTTATTTGTGCAGTTAACCCTCTCCAGGCAGGCGTTGCAGATAACTGCCAATTACCTACTTACTCCAAATTTGTATTTTATGATCTTATTTTACTCAGGAGCCTTTTCTCCCATCCATGCTGATAAACGTGACGATGCAGACTGTGCAAGAACGGCTACACACAAACAGCCTGCCAGAAGTGCAAAGTACTTTTGTTGTTTACAAAGGATAAAAATTGTTTCTTGGAGCACCACACGAAAAAGTGATGTTGTTCTGCCACTGTAAAGTTGTTACACTGTGCTTTAGGTTTTCATTGTTATGAAAAGTGGTGAACACATGAAGTTCATATCATTTTCAGTCTTCAGTGTTAATTTACCACACCAGACCAATGCTGCAAATCTGCAACATCCCAGAACACACTGGATGTGAAGGTCTCTCTCAAAAAAAAGTCAGGATTGTATATTACTACCCCATATGATCATTTTCCCCAAACATCAGATTTTTCCTGATGCTAAAGATTAATTTGAGCCTGAGAGGGTTAAGGGCACTCGGAAGCTAATATCAAAAATACTAATGTAATGTATATGATGCTGTCTGAGCTTCATTAAAGCCATCTAAAACTTCTCATCTGCATCCTGTCTCTTGTTTCCTGACCAGCTCTCCAGGGCAGCCATCACTATCTGAGCTAACACCTATATAGTCCTTAAGCCTGAGTACTCTTGAATTTAGTTTTGTTTAGTTTTTTCAGGGACATATAAACTTTAAATTTTAATTAACTTACGGTAAATCTTCTTTTTTTAAATTCACTATAATACCCTTTGAGAACACACTATCACTCATGGAAGCAGCGTCTGGAGCAGAGGATCTCTCAGCGTCCCTCCTTCAAAACAAAACAGAGAAGTAACATCATTTTAAATTTCAACTTTATTTTCAGCTTCAAATTTGTGTCTCAGAGACCCGCCCGTCCTCCTTTCTCCCAAACGTCAGACGTTAGACTGAGTTGGGGGCAAGTCAAATGTTTCTAGGTAACAGTGTGTTTGGATAAATCCAGCAGGAGAATGGACCTTGTCACAGAAATGATAAGGGAAAATATTTGTGGATATGACTTTGTGAGATTTCTGATGAAAATACAGGAGAATGACACAGAATCCCAACTGTTGTATCTGAGAGACGAGCGCAACATTCTACTTTGTGATGAACTAATATAATTTTAAGTGTTAAACAAAAACACAATACTGCACCATTCCTTAAACTTACTCAGAAACAGAGCTTTTCCTCCGAGCTCGTTGTGAATGTCTCTGTGGTCTCGGGGTTTGTGTGGAGGAGTTTGTTTTCTCTGGCTTCAGTCTGGAACAGTAAAGTAAAAGAACTGATTACTCTGTTTACCATAAAGCTCAGGATCAAACTTAAAACAAACATAAATTCTTCACACTAAGAACATTTTCTGTTATAGAATGTAATTACACACAGATGATGTGCACAGTCGTCCATAAATCAGTATTTGTATTGTTTTGTGTCACAGGTGATCAGTGTGAGTGTCCTCTTGTGTTCCTGTTTTATTACTGTTTTAGACACTGTCCTATGAATTACACACATTTACACACAGTCAAACACAGTCAAACACTCCATAGTGGATTACAGTAATCCCTTACTTTCTAACTAGTTACTGCTGGTGAGTTAACTGGATATATGATCCCATTTCAATTAACTGCAGTGTGTTTAATGTATGTTTTATAATACACTCGTCCTGTAGTGAGGCTGCCAGTCTGCACCACACTCCCCCCTCTGTCTGTCTCTGTGTCTCTGTCTCTGTGCTCTGTCTCTGTGCCTCTGTCTCTGTGCCTCTGTCTCTGTGCCTCTGTCTCTGTGCCTCTGTCTCTGTCTCTGTGTCTCTGTGTCTCTGTCTCTGTCTCTGTGTCTCTGTGTCTCTGTCTCTGTGTCTCTGTCTCTGTGTCTGTGTCTGTGTCTCTGTCTGTGTCTCTGTCTGTGTCTCTGTCTGTGTCTCTGTCTGTGTCTCTGTCTGTGTCTCTGTCTGTGCAGCTTGTCTGTGACGTCGCTCACAAATCCATCTATGGTTTGAGAATTTTCTTACAAACCCAAAGCTGTAAAGGTCTTACTCTGAGCTGAAGGTCATAGGTGAGTCCATGGAGTGGTATGACATCTGGGACAGGGCTGGAGACCCGGATCTGGGTCGGTCTAGGTCTGGACCAGGATTTAAGGGGTTCTGCTCGTCTTCCTCAGGCTGAGACATGGCTCCTGCAGCAGAAAGTAAAACCAAACTTTTTCTGCTCTGCTCTTGGCTCATGTTTACGGAATGCTTCACTGAGCTTGAGGATTAGGTTTGCAGTCAGTGCACAGACCTGTTGAGCTGGTTTATTTGATATTTATAGTACAATATTTGTTTTTTACTTACTGTAAATACATTTATATGCAATAATTTGTCTTATTGATACCACTCTCTAGCTATTTTTTTTGTTACTTCTGTAGAAGTGTGTTACCTTTATATATATATATATATATATATTTTTTTTTTTTTTTTTTTTTTTTTTTACTCAGTTAGTGTAATATATAGTGATGTGTGAGCTACTGTGTCCATGTCATTTCCATTTGAATTATAAATCAGATATTATGTCCAGACTTTTTAAGGATGGGGTGGGATATTATGTAAAACCAGTTAGTTTTGCTTTCGACCATGATATAAAGTTGTTCTGTCATCAAAAACATGACTGCAAAGGTATTATAGCTTATGTTGTCCATGTATTTGAATAATTTAGCTAGCTCTCTGTCAAAACGGAAGTGAAACTCATAAAACTGTTCAAATAAAAATGTGAATACGTTGTTTTCGTGAGCCTGTTTCTCCTCTTTATGAAATAGTCTATATCTAAACGTAAACGTGACACCAGGTGAAAGAGATGGGAAGTGAAACTAATACTCCACCGTATTTAACAGTCACGAGAAAAGCAAACAAAGGCTCTACGGTCTGCCTCATCCAAAATGCGCAGATAAGCGACATAACAAGACAACATTAGGATGTTTAATAGGCCAAATAAATAGGCCAATAGGAACAGATGTATTATTTTAATAATAAGAGATAAACGTGCACATGCAGGTTACCTTTGGGGATTCCTCAGTCAAAGTAAAAAGGGTGAAAAAAGAGAAGAGGCGGAACCTTGCTGTCAGAGCGTATTGAAGTTGGCTCAACGTTTGACGTTCGCTTGATATTCGTTAGGGACCGTCAACAAATAGTCACCACAGTATTGGAGGGAGTCACTTTACATTATTGGAGCAAGGTTACACATTAAATACATGAAAAAATTCACCAAAAATCAACCAAAACACTTTTTCCAAATCTGTGGGGCGTAGTAGTTCCCAAATAAATGTGTTTATTAACTACAGGTCACAATTGGACCCTAGGTCACATTACTGTGAAGAAAGACACAAAAAATACTTGAAAAAATTCACAAAAAATCAACCAAAACACTTTTTCCAAATCTGTGGGGCATAGTAGTTCCCAAATAAATGTGTCTACTTACTACAGGTCACAACTGGACCCTAGGTCACATTACTGTGAAGCGGGACACAATAATTACACACATTATTGTGTCCCGCTTCACAGTAATGTGACCTAGGGGCCAATTGTGACCTGTAGTAAATAAACACATTTATTTGGGAACTACTACGCCCCACAGATTTTAGAAAAAAGTGTTTTGGTTCATTTTTGGTGAATTTTTTCAAGTATTTTTTGTGTCTTTTTTCACAGTAATGCGACCTAGGGGCAATTGTGACCTGGAGTAAGTAGACACATTTATTGGGGATCTACTACGCCCCACAGATTTGGAAAAAGTGTTTAGGTTAATTTTTGGTGAATTTTTTAGTGTAATTATTGTGTCCCGCTTCACAGTAATGTGACCTCGGGTTCAATTGTAACCTGTAGTAAATAAACACATTTATTTGGGAACTACTACACCACACAGATTTGGAAAAAGTATTTTGGTTGATTTTTGGTGAATTTTTTCAAGTATTTTTTGTGTCTCTCTTCACAGTAATGTGACCTAGGGGCCAATTGTGACCTGTAGTAAATAGACACATTTATTTGGGATCTACTACACCCCACAGATTTAGAAAAAGTGTTTTTGTTGATTTTTGGTGAATTTTTTGTTCAAGTAGTTATTGTGTACACCGGCTCCACTAATGTCAAAGTGACTCCCTCCAACAATGTGGTGACGATTTGTTGACGGTCCCTAACATAGACGGTAACCACAGAACGAAGGTTGGAGCAGCTTGAGTAGATTTTTTGCCTATAATCGATAGGTACTATTTATGCTGTTGTTTTGTTATATAAGACATTATCAGGTTGCACTTTGTTTAACCTAGTTCAAGTTATTTAGGCAAAATGCATGTTTGGGTCTTACTGTGGGAAAGTTAAACCCCGAATATCAAGCGAACGTCAAACGTTGAGCCAACTTCATTACGCTGTCAGTCTGGCCGAGTTCTGTTAGGATTTGTTTTTGTTCTCTCCCCCTCCCTTTTCTGTTTCAGAGCTTGAGTGTGGCAGGGGGCGTGGCTGGCTTTTTCCAGAGCAGATGAGACACACCTGCAATCAATCCCTTCATCTACCTCAGTATTTAGCCCTGGTCTTCTCATCACCACTTTGCCAGATAATTCCGTCCTGTTCGGTAGCGTCACCAGGCTCTTGGATTTATTCCCGTCTTGCTTATTGTTTGCCCTGGATTTACCTACTCCTGTTTTCTCCCAGGTGTCTCCTGGTCGTCTGCCGTTGCCTCCGGAGAAGTTGGCCTCCTGCCTCCTCAGCCTGCCTTCGTTTGTACAATAAACTGCTTAAACTTGACTGTGTTCTGATTCTGCTTTTGGGTCCCTCGTCCCCCACCTTAACAAGTTCACTTCCCTTCGTTTCAGTTAAAAGTGCCAACTCAGGCGATGTAGTCTAAATGAAGGTTTAAAGCAGGGGTGTCGAACTCATTTTGGTTCGGGGGCCGTATCCAACCGACTTTGATCCCAAAGGGGCCGGATCATGTCATATAAACCCCAAAAATAACAATAAGTTCAAATATTTGTGCAAAGAAATGCAAATCTATTACAGAAATCTTTTTTAATTGATGAACTCTTTCTTATTGAAATATTATGAACAACCTGAAACTTTAAGAACAATTCAATTTCAACACAATGTTTTAACATTAACTTCAATGCAAACAGGAATAAGTAACTTTTTCTTGTAAAATCCTGCACTCGGCTCCACTTTTCTCATGTTGGACATTTTTCTGATGAGGGTGTCACGGTCAACAGTCAAAACGATCGTCCTTTAAGAGCGTTTGGAAAGAGACAAGTCTTCATTTGTGCTGCTCTGGTGGGAGGGGCCACGTACAGAGACGCTGGAGACGCTGCTGTGATAAACACCACAGAAAATTAACAAGATTTTAATAGAAAATATAATTAAAATATTTGAGTAGAAAATCACCCAAGGGCCACATTAAAGGTCTTGGAGGGCCGGATCTGGCCCCCGGGCCTTATGTTTGACACCTGTGGTTTAAAGAGTAATGCAGTGCACCGCCCCTTAGAGGTTAAATATAAAAGTGCAGTACTGCACGTGTCCGTATCAGAGCTGGAGATTTAAACCTGCAGAAAACAGAGGACCTCATAAACAAGAAAAAGAAAAGTGGTGCAAATGCAATCTAAGTTCACAGTTCACCACAATCCAGTTCATCCCTGTTTTGAAATAAGAATTTGTTTCAAAACATGACTAATGTGTGTCACAAGACTTTAGACCATAAAGAGGGTGCATTTGTATTAACAGCACAGAACAGAACAGAACTTTTCAGCATTTTACCTTTTGTTGTTTGAAAATGCCATATTTTACGAAAACTGTGTATTAACATGTTTTATAACTTTCATTTTAGTTGTTGAAGCTCAGTCTCCCCTCCCTCTGCTCTCTGAGCTAAGTTACTACCCATTCAGAGCACTGTCAGAACACAATCAGCGTGCATCCTGTTGAATGAATAAAACTCCTGCACATCACATCAGGTTTGTCCAGTTGCTGTGCACAGTTTTGTATCATGTTTTTGTATATTGATGGAGAATTGTCATGTGGGGGATGTAGGTTTGTGGGCGGAGACTCGTACTGCTAACCATAAAGAGGGTTTGAATAGGGCCCAGGAGAGATCACTAAAATACTCAAACATGTATGGAATGACTCTAAAACTTCTCCAGGCAGGTTTCTGATGAGGGAACAACGTTATAACATGGAAAAAAAAACTGCAGAATGCCCCGTTTAAGAATTTTTTTATTTTACAATTTCTTAACCAAGAATAGCAAATGGAGAGCAGCGCAGAATTCCATACATTTTGCTGCTAAAGATTCAAACACAGATTTGTTGACCTGGATTATTGTATCTCTGTAATTATTGGGCCTATCCACATAAAGCAAAAACATACAAATTACAATATTGATTTGCAAATGTACAATAGTATTGTCTGCAATAACAATCACAAAGAAAAGCTGCAAAACCCGAGTAACAATAAAAAGTACAGAAACAGTTGGTTCTTTCCACACAGTGATATTTGTTGACATGTTGTGCGATACTTCAACCAAGACATTTCATACAGACACATTAAAGAACATCTCTGGATTGCAAAAATATATCTAAATGTTGTCGTTGGGATAATCACTGAAAATGATCACTGAAGAGTTACACTTAAATAGTGTTCTGTTTAAAGAGGTGTTTGTACAACAGTAACACCAGCCTCTCTCTCTTCTACATCTAAAACTGTAACTCAACTAGTGATGGGAATTTTGGCCCTTCAAAAGACTGACTCTTTTACTATTTATTTATATGACAGAAGCCAATATGAGAAGGAATTTTATCTACAAACTAATCACAGAGAGAAATGACAAGGGCCAGACGTGTTTAGTTTTTGTTTTTTTGTGCACAATGTTCTCTCTCGTGTTGCCTGCTCTGCTTCTGAGCTGAGTCTTGTGTTGGTTCAGGGTTTAACAGGATAAAAATGCATAAACATTGTTCAAAAGAGCCGGCATCACTAAATCCAACCTATTACATGAATAAATAACGATTTATTCAAATGACTGCAAAATTACTATTCAAAATATTTCCTAAACAACTCTAGTTTTTTCATACTTACAAAACTTAAAACACACAGTAGAACTTTGTACAATCTTGCTCCTATGAAATGACACAGGATGATTGATAGGGTGCGGATCTGAAAACACAACATTGACAGAGATTTTTTAGTTCCATTTTTAATCCATGTTTGTGATTTAAAATGTGTCATGAAGGAGTCACCAAAATGTGGACCTACAGAATTCTTTTATATAAAATTTAAAAACAATCACTGGTAGTTCAAATCTGCAAATCTGGAGAAAAGCCACTCCTCTGATACAAAAAGTTAACTGCATTCTTCCTCTGACATTGTGTCGTGAACCCCCCCTCGGCCACAGGAGAGCTCACTTGGGTGGGGTAAAAAGATGAAGGTTTTGGCGTAAGCCCCACTAAAAGGGCTCCTGAGTTCAGATGAAGATGTTCATGATGCTTTATTTTGATAATTGAATAACTGTAAGAGCATTAGAGATTAAGAGTGTTTGATTTAGATATTAGAAGTGTTTTTGTGACCCATATTACCATGAGTTACTTGTTTTGCTTTGATTTAATCTGATTTGTTTCCTTTATATTGATTTGCTTAATTCTTTCAATTTAATTTTTAAGTTTAGGTTATTTTGCAATAATTTCTGTAACCGTTATGTTTGTGTGCAGGAAAGATAAGGACCTTCTGTTCTTTTGACAGTTGACCTTTATTTGACATTGATGTACGAAACCTATATGTTATGCGGCGTGTGGGGGGGCCTGTATGCAATGCGGATGCGAAGCTTCCTGCTCCTTCGACGAAGCGAGGTGGCCTTTACTTCACATCTGGCTGGGGCAGAGGCGTAGGGGGCTAGAATGGTGAAGATTGTGGTTTCTAAGAAAGTGTTGCCTGTACTTGAAAAATGTGTGCTATCTGTGACCTACTGATCACTTTGCATGTACCTGGGTGGAGTTCTGTGACCTTATATAAATATTGAAAATTCCCATAATGATTCAGATCCTGATTTTTGGTTGGCATTGACCCTCCGGCTGTAATCGGCTTAGGAGATCAGAATCTCTAATTCGGACTAGGCTGTGCTTTATAGCTTTCCTGGTCACAGGGTAATTTCTCCAAAAGGTACTTGCA